CGGCGGGAATCATTTGCAGCGTCAATCAGGCCATTGGCAGGAGCCAAAGTCACAAGAACCTCCCGTTCTCAACACTTCGCCCTTCGATGCCAAAAAGTATTAACCATGTGCGCCACAACAGTGTTACAGGGACAGTGACTAGAGCTGGATTATAGTGAGCCGACTTGCGTAACATCTAACTCATTTTCTGTTTCATTGCCCCAGCTGGCCCCCGTGCCAAGACAGAGTTGTAGTGGTCGCTGCCGGCCGACGCCCTCCATTGCTTTGTCCGGCGTCATTGTTCAAAGCCTCAAGGTCATCCAATACCTCAGTCAGCGCTTACAGACGCACAGACCTGCCGAAACTTGACCTACTTCCACTCGGACACATACACACGTGCGTGTATGTAGGTGCACGCAGCTGCCCAAGCAGCACTCGAACATGTCCCTTTTTCCCCACCCTCGGCCATAAAGACCTCATTAAGAAGGAGCCATTGCCGGTTGGCTCTCATGCCGCCCCTACACACAAACACATACTGTACTGACCGCGCGTTCCGAGTTATCCCGTCAGTTGGCAACCCTCCAAGTCAGGGCTTTTAGCGCACCGTGATAGCTTCCACAACTTGTCCGATTGTTTATGGTAAGGAAAGTAAGCTAAGCCGTCGACCTCATTCTCTCTATCTCTCTTCCTCACCACCAACATCAGGCCACCGTCAGAAGCGGTCAACCAACAACAAATGAAGCATGCTAACAGAATTGGCCTCTGTCCAAAAACAAATTCCAAGCACGTAGAAGTCGGTGAATGACAGCTGCAGGCGGATTTATTCAAAAAATACACAAAGTCAGCAGAAGACTCGTTAATTCCGTCAGCGCAAATAGAGGATATGTGCCACACTGCAAGAGAGAAATCTTCTCTATTTGTTCCCCTCTCTTACAGTTGTTGGCATTAATACATGTTGACGCTGTTGTTGGAGCGCGGCACCTTGATACGATCCATATTCTTAACAATCAGGTCATGAAGGACGGCCTGAAAAAAAGGAATACGAAAATATATGGGAACACAGAAAGGTATCAAATAGTCAAGACCAGTAGGCATCTATCGAGCGTGGCTGATTGTTCGAAGTTCACGGTAAATAGAAATGGACAAGCACCAGGTCGGTAGATTGGGCTTACGCGAAAGAGACCTTGGCGACCACAGTCAAGGCGCTAACAAAGCCGCATCTCACCTATGCGGCACCAATCTGGTCTCCTAAAATCAGCTCTTCCAGCCTCCGTCGCCTTCATTTAGCACAGAACACCGCCCTTCGCTCAATCACAGGTTGCTACAAGATGTCGGATATCGATCATCTCCATGCGGAGGCCTGTGTCCTACCGGTCGCCCCACACAACATACTCCTAGGTCAGCAGTTTTGGTGAACCTGTTCGTAACCCGGTCATCCAAATCGCCACCGCTGTCACGCCCCCGAACCTAGCCGCAGTGTTCGACCGTCTCTTGGAGCTCTCCACAAGGAAGCAGTGGCATCTTGTCTCTCGGATCTACCCGTTGATGTCTCTGCCATCATGAGAGGCCTTCAGCGTCTTCACCAGAGAGCTGTTCTGGACGAAAAATTAAGCTACCCCCCGGTTCTTTTGGGTGGCTATCCACCTCCGATTGCGGTCACGGAACGATAACTCCCGAAGATCATTCGCTGTACCCTGACGCAGCTACGCAGTAGATAATTAATGCTCCTTCGCCAGTACCAACACCAACTCGACCAGTCCACATCCGATAGCTGTCCCGACTGCGGCGTCTGGCCGTATGACTGTCAGCATCTCTTAGCCTGTAGCTCCCAACTCACGCCCGTGGACCTTTTCCTCAAGCCAGTTGAGTTGCACCCAGTTTGGACTCCGGCGGCGACTCCTGATCCAAAAAGGGTTAATAACCGACCAACTGCAACCACAAGTGCAAAAGGGCCACCCTTCAAGTGCCAGAAATAGGGAAGACCAAACAGCGTTTTTTCTGACACGTCCATGCCTGTTTTCGCTCAAAACTCCCGACTGAACAACAACAACAACAAGCGATGCACATATCTTCGCGACGTAGATAATGATGCACAGGTGATGTTCAACCTATGGGCCGGGGTGGCACGGTAAGCTCAAAGCCTCCCATTGGCTGCTGTCGGAATAAATCACCAAGTCGTTGGCATAGGCGTGAATGGGAATTCGACTAGATGGTGATAATGACCCAGTGGGGTTGGACCTTGACCTGGGAAATTCACAGTATGTTGTTTCTACTTATTTGCCAATGGGTAGTTCGTATTGCTGCACTTAAATGTTTGCAGTTGTCATCGGTGTGTATGAGGTACCTAAAGAGTGCATCTTACGGCCAGCCGCAAAAGTGGCTTCCTTAATGGACCGAACAGTAAAAAAATGATGTCGAAATTGGGCGATGCGTTTTGTCCACTTGAACGCCTATTTTCTTATTGCACCCGGTAAGGCGACGTGCCCTACGCGTCTAAGTGGCATACACAATCTATTCGTTGCCATTCTGAGTAAATATACCCCCGCCGGCGGACCTCTGTAGTATCCCGAGGTGCATTCTTAATTGGTTTTACGTTCTGTGAGTTGAATATTACTGAACTAGCTATTTTCAGCCGATTGATAGCAACTTTTTCTTTAGTGTAAGAACATTACTTTTCATTTGAATGTAGCATACTGCGCACTTTTGGTTTTCATCTTTCTGCAGGAAAAGTGTTATCGTTGCTGATAGAGGCTAAAAGGCGCGTTCCAGGAAGCAGTTCAGAAGGAGAAGATGCGATCACCTAAGCAAGAATTTCGAGCGAAGGTCTGAAACATCAGGCTAATAAACTTCTTGCTCCAGCGATTGCGTCATCTCCTTCTGAACTGCTTCCTGAGGCTCGCACCTCGACCAGCAGTCTTTTCTTGAGCGAGATACGGTCCGATCGGCGGGGAACTGATTTAGGGTCCGAGCGAGAGTCCGAAACGCCAGGCAAATAGACTTCATGTTCCAGCGATTGCCGGTTCGTGTTCCGACTTGGAAGACTGTCAGCGGATGGCATGAAGTGATCCTGTTAAGAGCATAGTAAAACACTGCAATGCTCCCTTCTTAATGTGAACATTAAGGCGCTGTCTGTGGAGTGGATCAAATGGAGGCCGACACGTGTGTGGCTTGCGTAGACGGGGATTCAACCTTATTGGCTATCGAATGTATGGTAGAGGCACAAACCAATTCATGCACAAGTCACAAATGAACCCGCTAGGGGACAATGTTGGGTCCAGTGGCCTGCGGCGGTGTATGTCTGGGTTTTGGGTGGAACGCAGAATGGAATGACTAGCCGACTTAACCGAAGAATAAATTCCATCGCCTGTCCACTTTGCTAATAGGTGGGTTATAGGGCCTAGCAGGGAGCCCTAACATGAAACTCAAGGGACTCGTATACTTCTGTTTAAGGCGACAGTATGTTAACCAAAAAACGATTATTCTGATTAACTTATTTTTGGCTGTATTTTCCTAGGCCACTCTGCGTCTACTTTGCTAACGAAAAAGTTGACCCATTTATAAAAAAAGCTGCGTGGCTTCGGTGGAATTCGAACCAACAACAGCAAGAGGAAAGCGTAAGTATGGCCAACGCCCAAGGTAACTTAGCTATTGAGGCTGGCCACACTAAATCCGGTAAGATTATATCGTGGGGTCAAATGGGCAACGTGTGAAGCGCGCCCCGCGGGCTAACGTTCACCCGATTTTCTGGGAGGGGACGGCCGTGGCATGTCAGGGAACAAATTAGATCCAATGTTTTCGTCAAATAAAAAAGTTACGAGGGCAAGTTGGGTCGCGTACTCAAACCTTGGGAGAAGACACTGAAATAAGCTTTAATATCATCGCTAACCCCCCCGCCCGACCAACGGCGAACGCGTATATCTGGGTCGCGTACTCAAACCTTGGGAGAAGACACTGAAGGCAGCTTTAATATCTCCCGACCAGCGGCGAACGCGTGCATGGAGGGGGAGTGTGCCCAAACCTTGGGCGAGATAACTGAGAGACATTTTCCAGTGGTATCACCAACACCAACGGGGAAAAAGTTCAAAAAAGAACAAAAGTGGCGAGCTTATTTAAATCACCCTACTGAAAAATTGCAAGTAAGCGATAATTCCCGTGGTTAGTCCAAAAGGCCAACTTTCTTAGTTTGTCGATTATAGCAATTATGGAAGGCGGTTGCCCTCAAAGAAACGCACTGCAGTTCAATACCATCAGCAAATCCCAGCTGGAACGTGGGGTGGCCTGTAGAAAACCGAAAAACTATAGGTAATTCAACCTACCGAAAATTTGTGAGTAGTTGATTATTCTAGATAGGGAAATATCCGGCCGCTCTATATAACCTCACCCTAAATCCTTCCCGCAGAGGTTTCCGACTTTTCCACAATTAGGTCAAGTAAATTACTAAAAACCTGCCAAACCCCTCCTAATGAAAAATATATTATTTCCACTAACTTATCCCATTTTGATTTAGAAGATTAATATGCACAAAAAGCGACATTGTTCAGGAGGAAATTAGGTAGAATACGGTGAACGCACGTAGTGGTTGCGGATTTCCATGATGACATAGCGCACGGAAATGGCCTGCTTCTCATCCATATCACGAATGCATTCTCGGTAGTCCTCAATGTGCGGGAACTTGGCCACTTTGCCTACGAGCTTTCCTCTCGAGGCGTAGTACCTGCAAAAAGTAAAAGGGGAACAACAAGATTGAGAATCAGGGTGGGGGAGGGGCGGGGGTGTGAGAACGTTCCGCAAAGACGAACAGACAGGTCAGACGGCCAGCCAGCTAGCCATACACCACAACCGCTAAACGGAACGTCTGAGACCTGAAGCCGACTGTCGATGGCTAATGAGCCAGAAATGGCCACTTCAGGCTTTATCGACAATGTTCTTGTTGGGCATACGCCCATTCCCACGATGACTCATCTTACGGAAAGGCTGCCGAGTGCACCTCCACGCTGCTGTCATGAGAGCGCGTGCCGTGGGTATTGATTTTTCGTCATAGCTTATTGGTCCCCTGTCGCTGATGCCTGCTCATGGAACGGATTGAATAAATACCCCATGGCCTTTCGTAAGACCGACATGCTTGACTTTCACTTTCTTTTTTTTCGTGTTCTGTGTAGATACACATCTCCACCTGGTCCATTGACGTCTCTTGTTCTCTCGTGCGGGCGTTCGGGACAATAGTCGGGCTAGCTCAGCGTTCGTGCATTTAACAAGTACTAGGCGTGGGTCGTAACAATTTTCTGCCGTAAATTTTATTACTCTCCGACTGTGTTTAACCCATTGCCTTTTTGAAACCAAAAATGATGCACGTTCTGTGTAGAGGCAGGTTTAATTCGAGAATGTTTTATTTTATCAAACTTAACGTCTATTTGAATAGATCTTGGCAACTACGTAAAAATGGCCTACAATTGCCAATACAAGCGAACATGCGAGTCCCAGGAAGTAATTGAGAAGAAGACGGCACGATCGCTGGGACAATACGTCTATTCGCCCGACGTTTCGACATCCGTCGCGGATTCATCATCAGAGACATTAGCAGAAAACAGCAGTAGAAACGGATTACTGTTACTGTTTTCTGCTAATGTCTCTGATGATAAATCCACGACGGATGTCGAAACGTCAGGCGAATAAACGTATTGTCCCAACGATCGAGTCGACTTCTTTTTAATTCCCTACAATATTAAATATCCATGTATACACCAAGTAGTGACATCCATGTATAAACCAAGCGGTGACTATCGTATTTTCTGACTATCTCATCTGTTTGAGTTGCACTTACTGAATCGAACGACTTTACCTATCCTGATTACAACGGTGACCAATTTAATTAAATACTGAAGAAAATTCTGAAATTAATTTTTAGTTAGAAGGGTTTGTTATGCTAGCATGTATATATTCCGGACAGGCGAGAATTTCGGGCTTTTGATTCTATGGCTTTTCGGTCGCCTACAAGAAACCACCCTATGTAAAAAGATGACTTAAGTAGCACAGACGTTTTCATTGCTTTTCGACACCAATTTCATCAACAAGTGTGTCAGGGATCTAGACTGTGAAGTCACCTTGTTCGCCGATGACATCAAATTATGGAAAGTTGTCCAAAGTACGGCGAGACGAAAACCATCTACAAGCCAACTTGAACAGATTGGAGGACTGGTCAAAGCTTTAGAAATCCATCTACAAGCCAACTTGAACAGATTGGAGGACTGGTCAAAGCTTTGGCTAATGCCTTTCAATGTTAGTAAATTTAACTTTCTTCAAATCGGCAGTTGTAGAGCATTCTGCACGAAGGTCTATTCTTTAAATGGTACTCCGCTGCAACAAGCTGAGAGT